GGTTATGGGCCCACCACGCTTCCGCTGCGCCACTCTGATTAGAATGTTAAGAAATTGTCTTCTAAATTTTTGATAATTTATTATTTTTTCCCATAATGCTAAATTTTTACTCTAATTTCATTTGTGTTAATAGTATTTTTAGTTTTTATGTAAACTTTTACTCTAATTTCATATGTGACAGATTCATTTTTGGCATAATGATATGTAGGTGATGTTGTTGCAGAAACATGTATCATTTTTGAAAGGTATGGAACATCAAGCAATAAAACCTTGAGCCTCTCTTGCTCCACTAACGGTCCAAGGAACCTGTGAGATTCAAAATGAGGGTAATACACTTCCGCCAATGGTCGCCCAGGAGCCACATTACGGTTGCGCATTTTGTTCTATTCAAACTTGTCGCTTTGTGTTGTGTTTAGAGTTGGTAATTGGTTTATCAGGTATCAATTTAATCATTAACTGAACAGATAAGGACAGTTAGCATTTAAAGCGATCGCCGATAAGGGGCTAGCAGTTTGGTGATCGATGTTAGTTTGTGTTGTCACTTAACCGATAACCAATGCTTCAGTTAGTAGTGAACCAATAAGAAAACCACTAATCAACCCCTTCCCCAAAATGATGTGGTTGGACTGGCAACAATTATATGATTTCCTCATTCTTTGATCTTTTGGCTTGGTGTTGGTAGTTCCTTGGTCTATTTCATGCTTATGCACTAGGAAATGCTAAAATGCCTCACCTAGAGTTATCACAGCGAATTAGATATTGGGAACACGTCGACAAAGTAAGGCAACACTTAGGTGTCTGCTAAGCATAACTAGATGGAGCTAGGCAGTCAATACCAAAGCGGGAATTGGGATCGTCTATAAACTAAATCTTCTATTTCGATCTTTTCGATAGCTCTAGAATTTTGTGAGCTATTGAGCTATGATTCTATGAATTTGTGAGCTAATTTTATTATTGTTAAGTATTAAGTAAGTTACTAATCATTCTAAATGAAGTTTGAAAGTCTTGTAAGTTGTTATTTCATTTATCATATAGTCCTACTTGCTATTTTTCTTCCAAGCATAGGCAAACTAAGCGAGACCCCAACGCATGCCTTACGGCTAACGCTTTCTTAAACCTTGGTTTTGCCATATTTTAGGTAGAAATCATAACTATTTAATCAATTTGCTTATAATATAGGTTGTTTTGTATCATTTTATGCCCTTTTTGGTATTCTTTTTTTGCTTTTTAAGGTCAAACAAATTCTAGGATGACTTGGATCAATGTGGATCAAATTGGAGGATCAGGGGGGGACAATCAATAAAATATCAAGGTGATTCCTCCATTCAACAAGGCTAAATGGATGGGAAGCCTTCATGATGGCGTCATTAAAACCCAAGAGGAGACAACTAGAGAAATTTCAACTAAAATCCACAAAGGAACCCATGACATCCTTCTGATGGTAGTAGCTGCCGCTAGGCCGAACGCATCAAGTTGAGCTAGATTTCACAAGAGGAGTTACTTGTGGGTCAAGCAACCAAAAGGAGGAATAATGCGCATCGATGCGCCCAAATGCTGCTAATCCAAACCCAAGGGATCTTGAAGAATATGCCTTGCTTCATCCTCAAGTCAATAAATTCGAGTCTCAGTAGTATCAGGAAGCCCTTGGAAGCGTTTTAGGAGGAAAAGACCTAATAACCCCCTTTTCCTTCCACTATAAAGAGAGGGTTATGGAATTCAGTAGGCTGCAAACATTCACTAAAATCTCTCTGTATAACTCGAGCAAGGAGTTTCTCAGATTGGGGGAGGTCGAATTAACATTCAAAGGAAGGTGCAAGTAAGGAGATGCCTTCATCATCGATGGTGGTATCATCCTTCGCTTCTATATTTGTTAATTCAACTTCGTTGTTAAGGATGTGAATTCTATTGATGCTTATAACATCTTCTTTCTATGATATAATGATATATTTTAGTCATTTTTTATCTATGTTATTCGATACTTATACCATTAGATGCCTTAGTCATGTGATGCTTATACCATTGGATGTCTATGCCATGTTTTTTTGTTGTTGAAAATCTTGCCTATGTCATGTGATGCTTATGTTATTTGAGTATCTTAGCTAATGATGCTTTAATTATGTGATTCCTTCGTCATCCATTATGTGCTACTATAGTGTTGTTTATAATATCTTTATGTTTCATGGGAACCCCAACGTATGTTAATGTCATTGTCTTAGGTGTCTCTGGAATGTAATTATCAATCATTTATACTCGACTATGTGCAATGCTTGATACCTTAGATCATCAATGCTATGGAACATCAATTTGGTTCGTAGATGCTCAAAATAGTGATATGCTATCCATACTTCCTTGATTGATTGATTAGTAAAGTGGCATGAAGCGAAAGCACGCATTAGCTAGTCATAATTCCTATTGCATGAAGTGAAAACTTGAGTAGAATGACCTTAGTGGAAGGGATAGAGATACATGATAGAAGATGCATTGTTGCTTAACATTATTGAGATTCAAATGCACGATCATCTAGATTCTGATCAGTGTGTATCTTTACTTATCTTGTCTTTATTATTATGTTCCGATTTATGATACATCTCGAAAACAACTAAACATAGGAAACCTCAACCCATCTATTTCTGTTGAGTTTTTCTTTGTGCATTAAATGATTGGTTGTGAGTATTATTATTAGAAATCCATGTGGAATACGACATTTATTAGGAAGTTCGGATCTAAGCTGATACATTCAGGAAGTTTGGATTAGCAGGCTCCTCTTTTTTCTGTTAACTTCCATTGTTGTTCAGGAAGTATGGATAGGCAAGCTCCTCTTTTTTCTCTCCATTATTTTGCAACCATAGTTGTAGTTAAATTTCTCTTACTTCAGTCGTCTGCTTGTACTATGTTTATGTACACTCTACGTGGTACAACAACTATTTGTCTTTTGAAAGACACGCATGAAGATTTTTCATCGTTGTATCTTGATAATGCATATGCTTTTTACTTTCGCTTTCAGAACGTGGACCTCACTTTGCTTAGAAGCTGCATTGTTTTTTATAACGGTGATATAAATTTTATTAAGTAAGTAAAAGAGGAGAAATGGTACAGAGAAGACAAACAAACAGGGGTAGCCAGCGCAACCAGGAAACAAGTCTGGCACCCCTTAATCACAGGAAGCAAAGGATCCTAACAATAGCTACATAATAACCACCACAGCGAAATCACAAAGTCATCATCACCAGCGTTGGGTCACAGACCCCATCAGCCACGTTGGAACCTGAAGCCTAGGAAGAAGCTGCTCCCTCGCGTTGAGTCGCCATTGATCAGCCACATATCTGTCAACCTTGTTAGAGGCGCACAACCAGTCATGGATGCTGTAAATGATTATGAAACAGGTGCTCAGAATCGAGCTGAAATCATCCCTAAAAATCAACGTTTCTTTCAAGCCAAATAATACGCCAACAGAAAGCGTGTAAGAAGAATTTAGAACACCACATATGCGGACTTGAAGTTGTATCCCTCGGCCACATCCCAATGGTGGAAGTGATATCTTGTGAAGGAGTCTTAACCCAGACAAAATTGCTCATCACTCTCCACACTTCACGGGAGAAACTGCAGAGGATCGGAGGAAGAGATGATATATCGTCTCTTCACTCATGTCACAAAGCACTCATCGACTTGGAAAGGACCATCCCCTCCGTTTAAGAGTGTCGTGTGTGAGAATCTTCTTCTGAAACCTATCCACATGAACACACAGATAAAGCCTCCCATCACCTTGGGATTCGGACCAAATAAAGTCTCGTTGTACCTTCTCAAGCCGATTAATGGCTGCACTCGGGGCCTTGAAAAGACTGGACAAATTTGCTTGCATACAAATTGATATGTAATTTTCTCTTTCTTCGCCTCTTCCCTGCGTTTTGTTACATTAGCAAACGTGTACATTAGGGCTAGGCATGCGGGCGGATAACCTGCGAGTTTGGACCGACCCACCCGCATTTGACCCGAAATTTCATTATGTGGGAGACGGTTTGTAATGGGAGCCATCCGTCGGGTGGCGGGTGGGTTGTGGATGCGCCCGCGGGTGATCCGCTTAACCCAACATCAAAATTAACAAAGTCGTTGGCGCTGGAGAGGGAAGAGTGGAGACATTAGACGAAAATTTGGGCTGCTCCTAGGATTGAGTCTGAAAGTCAATTTTCCAAATCGCGAACCCCTCTTCTTCCTTTTATTTTTTCTCTAATTCTTGTGTCTAGATCACCTATCTTTTCTCCTTTAAATTATTTTCCTTAGTTTCTTGCACTTAATAATCATCTTCATCGGTAGAAAACTCCTCCACAATAGAATTTATATCCAATTTCAGAACTAATACTACATTTCCCTCCTATTTCATTTTCTTGTTTCCGCCCGATAACCTTCTCCACCGATTATCATGTCAATTTGACTCCTTTATATTATGTACATTATGATGTGGGTGAACCCTCAAACCCACCCGCATCATCCACCATTCGCCCGACCAAATCCGAGACTAAATGTGGGTGGATGGTGGGTTAAAAATAATCAATCCATTCAAACGGAGGTGGGTGCGTTTATGGTCAAAATCCGTCCGACCCACCCAATACCTATCCCTACTATACTTTAATAGAATCACCATGTTGATTAACGACGAAATTCAACAAGCGCCAATTTAGCATCTCATAACCGAGTTGTGACAAATTTAGTTCCCGTGATGTACTCATACTAACAACCACAACCGAAGATCGATTCTGGTAGCGCGATAGAGAAAAGAGAATGGGCCATTTCTCGTCTTCTTTCAAACAATCGCCTAAGCAACAACGGGAACGAAATAGAGAACAAGATTTCTTTTAATTACACAAAGAAAACCTGTCCAACGTTCAACAGGCTCTCATGGGGGACATTAAAAATCACGCTATGCTCTCTACATATCTTCCTCAGGAAAGCGTATATGTAATTCACTGCAATCTTCTTGTAGAACCTCGACTCCCTCCTCGCTCTCACCACCGTGTTCCCCAAGATATGTACAACCCAGCGTCCCGACAGCTCTGCAAGAACTCCACCTCGTCCACTTCGGTCTGGCTGCTCGTCTGGCCCGACGACCCCACAGTCGTCGTCACTGAAGGCTTCACCGGCATGATCGAGTCAATGGAAGACATCGTCGAATCCACCACCGACCCTATCGTGTTCCCATTCTCGTTCAGCAGTCCATCCCTCGAGTGTTGTGTTTGCTGTCCGTACAAGCTGTACTCGTCGGAGTCCGAGCACCCGTCCATCATGGACTCGAGCCGGACGAAGAGGAAGAGACTGTCAAACAGCTTCTTCTCAAAGTCGTCGTCTTTATTATGAAGGTCCTTGTAGCCATACCTGGCCACACACCTAAACATTCTGAATTTCTTAGAGCCGATCCTCTTGACCAGAAACCGCTCTTCTTCAGGGACCGTGTAGACAGGGAGATACTTGACGCAGACGAAAACCACAATGGAGTGGATGGCAGGAAGATTAGTGATGAAATGCGAGAAGATGTGGGGGATACCACTGGCGAGTTCAGTGTAGACCAGGACGATCCCTGGGACCCTCACCAAGCCCAAACTGGGGCCAAGCCCTATGATCCACGCCATTGAGACCTTACTGTGCATTTCAAACTCGTACCGTTTGAGTGTGCCATAATGCTAGACGTGCATGACGATGAGGAAGGCACCGGCGATGACAAGTGGACCCAACCTCCCTGGTCGATCTTGAAGAGCACGGCCGACAAGTAGGTGCATTCCACCGCAAGGGATAAGCCGGTGAAGAGCACAACAAGGATCCAGTGGCAGTGCCACACAAGGATCATTATCAGGACCATCAGGAGGGTGGTCACCAGCATGACTATTACCACCGCCGTCCCTGTTGAATAATGAAAGCCAAAAGTGAAATAAAGGAGTGAAATTGAGTGAAAGGTGAGGTTTTTGTATCATAAACTATCAATTCAATGTGATGAACTGACCATAAGCATTTCCGATTTGGCTTTGGTTCTTAAATCCTGCGGTGACACAGATGCATAGAATCATAAGGATCCAATTGATATCGGGGACGTATATCTGTCCTAGGAATTTCTTGGATGTATGCACAACTTTCACTCTTGGGAAGCAGCCGTGAGCATGTGCCAGCTTGATTATCGAGAACGTTGCAGAGATTGTGGCTTGGCTTGCAACCACAGCAGCTGCAGTAGCAATAAGAAAACAGGCCAGTATATGCTCTCTGCACAGCCACATAAGTTGTTTCGTGTTAACAGTAAGAAGATTGCATTCAGAGGATAACATGACTTAATGCGTGGGATGATAGATGAAGCATTGGACAAACCTGGGATAGAGCAGTAAAATGCATCGACCACATGTTCCTTGTTTTTGACAAGATAAGCAGCTTGGCCAGAATATGCAAGAAGAAGGCAAGGGAAAACTACTGCTGTGAAAGCAAGTCGAATGGCCGAAACAGGGAAATGGGCTAGATCAGCAAAAAGTGCCTCAGTGCCTGCAATTGTTCATGAATCAGAATCAGAATCAGGATATGAGGTCTAACTACAGATATGCTTAAACAACTCAGTCGCACCTGATAAGATAAACTAGAAGTTCAGGTAATTTGGAAAATGGTGAGAGACAATATTACCTGTAATACTAAGCATGATCCCTCCAAGGGACATAAACCCGTCTCTACCTCCCCTTTTAAGGTATCGATAAACATATACAGGTGAAAAGGCTTTAAAAACACTTGCATCATATTTGCATATGTTGTATATGCCAATACCGCCAATTAACAGAAACCAAAGCAAGACGATTGGAGCGAAGAGCCAGCCAACTTTATCGGTCCCAAAATGTTGCATGCTGAAGAGACATACTAATATTATAACAGCAACCACTATGACAACGTCTGCAACAAGAAATGGGAATAACAAGCTGTCGACGATGAACGGATTTCGGACAAGAATCCATAAGTGGGTCGCTCATAGAATGTGAATGCATATGCCAATGTTTGTTCACTTAGGAGAAGTTCAATACCCCCACTAATTCCTGGCTTGTTCACCTTGATCCCGCCAACAGCAGAAAGAACTGCAAGACATTGAGCAACCCGAATGTTATATAGGTATTTTTACCCTGGTAGAAACGTTGCAAAGATATTACGCATGTTACTTCTATTAGCATATTCAAAATGAAACTTGGGTGATGCAATAGCCACGCTAAAATAGGCCCATGAAGAATTTGAATGAGGTGAGAGAGACATAGACAACCTCATAATGAGAAGCTGGGAAAGGGAATTCAGAATTCAACAAACAAGGTGGATGCGTACGTTACCTATGAAGCAAATGTTCATTGAAATGACTAGACAGACACGAGAAACAAATTAATGATTTTTTCTAGACACCAGCACCTTTGTTATAGTCAACATAAAACAATTAAGTACGCCTTTTCAACTGCATTTCCTTATCCCTTTTACCACATACATGGACTCTGCACTACTTTCCGAGATATGAAACTAACTAGATGCACCAAAGCGCATTACACAGATACAACCAACCACAGAAGCAGACGAACTGAAAGTAGACACTTGGAACAAAGGAGAATCTTCGTTCAGGATATCATTTGAGATAGCTGATTACAATGCAGCGAAATAGGACATGAAAATGATCATATAAGAGGACGAGAAGTTACCAGAAATAGCAGGAGTCAAAATTCCATCGCCAATCACCATACAGGTGCCAACAAGAACAAGAATAAGAAGGCCAGTCTTCCGAAATGCTTGGTTCTCTAACCATCGCTTAGTTTTAGCAGCAAAAGATTGTTCATGGAAAGTAGAGCGACTATATGTTGTCAGATCCTCATCCGTCCGGTGTTGATTTGGGATCGTATTTACTTTTTCATGTCGAGAAAGTAATGAGTACAGCGCCAATGTACCACCTGCACGAATGTGGAGAAATTTAGAGTCCTCTCTAGCTCCAGGGAATGTAACTTAAGAAGTTGTTCTACAAAATGAAGAATAGAGCAAAGAACATGTAAGATGCAAAGCCGGATTTACCTTGACCATTGTCATTTGCTTTGCACACAATGAACACATACTTGAGGAGAGGGACCAGAGTAAGAGAGTATATTATCAAGGAAAGAGCTCCAATTACATCCTCTGGATCATAGATTCCCTTGGGAAAAGTATTGTAGAACACATACAATGGAGATGTGCCTAAGTCTCCATAAACAACTCCAAGACATTGGAATGCTAGCCGAAGAAGCAGAATTGCTAAGAATTTCTGCAGTAGGATATGTGATCAGAATCATAGCAGAAACATTTATCAATCATCTTGAATTATAACCAAAAATTCCAAAAAGCGACGACCTTATCTAAGGGTTGACCCTCAACCAGTAAATTAACCCGCCATAACTAGAGAAATAGTATTTAATTGATAAGAAAGTTTGGACGACGAAAAACAAAGGTAGTTGGCGTGCAAATTCAAGCCAACAAAGCTCCATCATCATGAGGTAAACGAGGGAACAGTATCTTTGATTTTCAGAAAAGTGGAGACACGGTACAGGGGAAATCATGCATGGATCGTACCTTTTCTCTGTATATAGTTTTGAGCTTTCCAGCTTCTTCATACATGGGTTGATCAAGCTTCTGCTCCGAATCCCACATGCTGCCTCTGTATGACTCGTTGTCGTCATTGATATCCAGTCTACCTTCCATCTCCATGCTCTACTCCGTAGGGAATTGGAGAACCAACAAAAAAGCTATGTATCTAGAAACTAAAACCAGCCGCTAAGAACACCCAATAGTAGGGAAACCCACTCCCTATGGAAAAGCTTGCCAAGGAACTTATTCATGAACTCAGAACTTCTATACTGTCAAAACCAAATCCGAAGCAGTGGGGAAGGAGAAACAGAACCGCTCCTAAGAGCCAGAAGCGATTCAAAGCTTGAAAGGTCGCAGATTGAAGAGTGTACAAAGACAACAAGCTGGCAGAGGGAGCAGAGGCAGGGAATTGAGAGGATAGAATAGACCCCAAACCCAGCTCAATCAAACGACATGAGAATTTCCCACACATTAATTTCGCAGCGTCATCATCGCAACAGTATAATTCTTCCCCCGCAGTGGGGTCAATTCACTCTCCAGCCACATGAATCAGAAAAAACAACCAAGCAGCTACGCCCTTCCCTCCTCCTTCATACAGGTAAACAACAAAAGAATTTTTCAGGTAAGAGAAGAAGATTTCAACTTTCCTTCTCTCCGTCACATGCCCATCTACCAGAAAGCTGAGATTAGCAAAACCCAATTCCGAAGAATTTCTTCGTTGGATGGATTGAAGCAACCAGCAAAGGGGAAGTGAAGGAAGAGTAATAAAAAGCGAAACTAGGAAGAAGGAAAAAAATTCGTCTGTTTCTAATTTGTGTTTTTGTTACTAGAGGGGAGAAAACAGGAGGGAGGCTGAATCTCCCCTTTTGTAATGTTAGGCGGACAAAAATGGCCGCCGATATGTGAAGATGGTGGGCGGAAAGGAAAGCAGTGCTACTGCTAGTATCATATAATCAGGAGCATACTGTGAATTGTTTACTTATTTCATTACCATTTATTTCGTAAATAAAACACGCTTGTCGAATTGTAAGAGAAATTTTACAATGCTATATAGTATTGTTATTCCTACCAGAGCGGCTGGCTCACTGAAGTCTGAATTTGAGTCGCTCAAGTTAGCTACGGAGGTTGGCTTGTTGTCTTCTGACTCACTATCGCTACTTAGCCAGAATACTTCAGCTTCAGGATCACCTTCTGCAGGAGGAGGGTGTTACGAGCACAGAATCGGTGGACATAGTTATCAAAGTCGCACAACCAAGAATACGGTTTAGGATCAAGTATAAAACGGAATTGAAGTGAAATCTCACACTTGGGAGAAGGCTCTATCAATATAGGGTAGAAGCTCGACCACGATCAAGGGTATACTTGTTTGATACAAAGCACAATCCAAAAGCCAGAGCTCAATGAAAAAGAATAAACTCAATAATCTTCAATATCTACAAATTCCTCTTAAAACTCGAGTTTAAGCCATTTATACAGGCTAGAGAAACAAATACCCAAAAAGGAAAATAATCCTGAACATAAAAGGTAATTCCAACTCGTCACCCTCCTTCAGATCCCCGATTAGAAATTAACATCCGCATGGCCGGTGGGTCTCCTGTTCTTATTCCCCAGTCGCCATCGTGTGATCTTGGTCGAGGAATTGGGTCCCTTCTAACCGGGGTCCTTCCATCTTCATCTTATGCCTTCTCTCTTGTTTACTTTAATGAAATCATTAAATTGTGATGCCAGTGGGATTGCATCAGCCCCTCCCTATTAAAGAAGCTTTGCCCTCAAAGTTTGAGTAAAACACAATGCACCATACTCCCATTTGAACTAAAGCAATCCACAAAACTTTCGATCCAAACAAGCTTCCCAACTGGCTTCCAAACGCTGCATAATCATCATCAAGAAAGAACAGACAACCTACACAATCCCATGGAATCAATAGCTCATACAGCTCGACAAACAAGTGCTCAATCCATGAACTTCGAAGCTCAAGTTGTCAGTCCTTCCTTTGAAACCTCCATTCGGGTTCACTGTCTTCTCGTCTCTTCTTTGTGTACAAGAAAATAAAATCATCCATAGACAAATGAAGGTTACGTTCCTTCGCACTGTAGCTCAAATCAAAGCCGTCATTCAACTTGCAAAACTGAACATCGACGTCGAAATTATCGGGTTCTGCAGAATTGACAAGATCAATTCCCATTCCTCCATGATTGATACAGTAGGTTTGTATTGATTGAATCACATTATGTAAGGTAGTGCCATCCTCATTCAATCCTTCTGGATTGGATTTAGCACATAGAAGTTCCAAAATTTGGTACTACATCTTGAAATTTGTCGGCGGTGATAATTTGGTCATCCGGCTAATTTCCGTCGGCTGTAGTTCACCTATTTCAAACTTGTTTTACATATGAAGCTCATCGCTTGATAGCTGAGACTATATAACACCTTCTTCAGCAACCGCTTGGGCCCTAGCTGTTGTTTCTTTGACAACTATTGTTGTCGCATATTGCTTTGCTTCCAGGGCCTTCTACTCCTCCTCATAGGGTCGTTGTAATTTCCTCCTATCTTCAGAAACCTCTTCCAATTATAATGGCTTAAAGGAAAATTTCTTTTCGTGGTGCCTTAAGATGATGTTCTGGGCGTAGTTGTTTCGTTGTGCTTGGCGAACATCATGCCATGGTTTACCAAGCACCACCTGATTAACAAAGGAGAACACCATGATGAAAGGAGAGGTGGAGATGAGTCCTCGAGCGTGTTGGAAGGGTTTTTAAGAAGGGTTATAGGTAAGCTTGCACTTAATGTTGATTCTGGCAATTTTGTCATAAATGGGAAGAATGAATCAGTCAAGAATTTAGACACGTAAGGATTTTGATTGTTTTATCATTGGTTTGGAAAGAGATTAATCATTACCACAAATCCATCAATGATTTATTGATGATATGGAGATCTAGGATATATAAATTAAAGATTAGTAATGAATTAGGAAGGCAAAGATTTTATTGACAGATGGTAAGATTTCTAAACTAAGCAATTTAGACAAATTTGGTCAGCCTTATATGTGTTATAATGACACTATTGACCTATACTCAATCTTCACTATTGCTCCCCTCACGTTGTGCTTCGTTGATCCTCTTTTCAATTTGATCTTTCAATTTTTTTAGACTAAGGGATGTCTAGGGTTTCTCTCACTTGTTTGCGCATCCCCATCTGATGGTAGTGTTTTCTCAGTGCTGACAAGCACCAATCTAATCTAGGATCTAAACAAAGTAGCGATGATAAACTGGAACTCCATAGCAAACCCATTTAGATCCATTCCAGTAGCCTGGAGGAACTAGGTTAGGAATGTGGCATAAGTTCTATATTCCAAGTTTTCTCCTCTTCGACAATCTTGGCCATGTGAACATATATTAAAGGGCAAAATTCAATAGCTTTTTTTAGGCCACATGTTAGAATGAAGAGATCAAGGGGTTGAAGGTAGGTATTGTTTTGAGCTCTAGGAAGAAAGAAGTGAGTTGTCAGCCAATTAAGAACTATGAGAGGCTTCGGCAAGTTTACAACTTTGAGGGATCCCTTTGTAATCTTCCTTGGTTCTTCTTCAAAGTGAAATCCATGAGACTTCCGCTCATTTTCACTTTGAAGAGTCGAACCTTTGAAGCAGGCACGGATTGATAGAGGCCAGGTGTGAGCATTGTGGACCATCCGCCACGGATTTAAGTAAAACTTCCTAACAATCAGTGGGCCGTATCAGGGGAGTTTGGGTTTTAGCGGTCAAAGAACTCTTTACAGCCTAGGTTCTTGATGAGTTGACGAACCTTTGTGGGTATATAAGATATGGAAGGAAATTCTAGTTCTACTAGGATGGGAATTTTACAATAAACCTCATAGTAGTCAGCCTACCTTTCTATTGAGCGACAGTCCACATTAGAATAAGCAAGAGATCTTTCCCCAACCTTGAACTTTCTCAAAATCTTCTATATGTTTCTTGGTCAAATTTTCTAACTAAAAAATCTTGAACCTCCATCGAGGGAATGAAGAGGACAAAAGGGATTTTAAGGGGAAGGTAGTCCACAACAACATTACCTAAATATCAATATGCCCAAAATGAATCTGTCGCATATGAAATTAGAGTAAAAGTTTACATAAAACCAAAAATACTATTAACACAAATGAAATTAGAGTAAAAGTTTAGGATTATGTGGAAAACTAATAAATTATCAAAAATTTAGAAGACAATTTGTTAACATTCTAATCAGAGTGGCGCAGCGGAAGCCTGGTGGGCCCATAACCCACAGGTCCCTGGATCGAAACCAGGCTCTGATAGTTTTTTTTAGTTTTAGCTATTGGTATACGAAAAATTATTTAATGTGTATTTTCATTTTCCCTATGCTCTCTCCTACCGTTGGCATTGCTTGACCTAGATTTTCATCACCAAAACGGTTGCATCGCTAATGCCCCAATTGAAGGGTTGGGCTCCCTCCAGGTTGTATTTGTTTGAGGTAGCTATTGAAAATTGTCTTAAATTCTAGCTAGCAACTAGAGCGAGTTGGGATTGGTTTCCATATATCAAGTGAGATAAAAGAAAAGGGGACAACTTGTTTGAAGGACTGTCTAATCGAGCAATTGCTTAGAGGCTTCTCTAAAGTTTTCCTTTTCACAAACATGGACGAACAATTTATGGGGTTGACAAGGTTTGGCTCATTATTTTTTTAAATTAGGCAGCAAATTGTGGTTTTTGAAGTCTTTTTTTTTACAAAAGATAATCATATATTGATACTGAAGAATTGATCATTACATCACATGTCGTAACCAGGCTACAAAATCAAAAGAACGACTCGATATCGGGTAGAAAGAAATGGCCTTCCGAGCCACCAAATGGGCTACCAAGTTACTACTCCGACCAACGAACCGAACACTAAACCCCGCATTCTCAGCTAGATAGAGCAACACCTCACGGAAGATAGCTCCCGATGTACTATCACTCCCCTGAGCCACATTGAGCCTGTCCACAACCACCTTCGCATCCCCCTCAAAACGAACAAGCAAAAGCCCTCTATTTCGACACCAAAGAATGGCTTCCCTGAGGGCCAGTAGCTCCACAAACAACGGATCATCGATCCCCGGAAAGCACAAACCTGTCGCACCAACAACCACTCCATCCAGAACCAACATCACCATCCCTCCTGCCGAGTGGGACCCTAGCCTAACTGCTCCATCCCACCTACAAATGAGGGAGCCCTGGCTAGCAGGGGACCCCAAAGGGATTTCCCCCACAGGGGCACACCCCACCACATCTCGTGGCAGAGAAGTCCACTCCTGCAGTTGGTGGTGGTATTGACGCAGCAGGACCGGTATCCCAAATTGTTTGCCTCCAAAGACAACCCAATTCCGAGACTTCCAGATCCGCCAGAGCACAGCCACGACAGCCATGACATGGGGAGGGTCCTTAACAATGGCCAGAAGTTGCTTGAGAAATAGAGGGAAAGTGAGGTGAGGCTACCCTTGGCCCACAGGCTCTAGCCCAGCAGAATCCCACAATGCCCGAGCTACACAACAGTCGAAAAAAAGATGTTCCATCGTTTCTGGCGCAGCCCGGCAAACCGGGCATCTAGGATGAACTGCCACTTTCCTTTAAATGAGAGCCTCCGTAGTGGGGAGGAAACGATGCAAAACTTGCCAGAGGAACACCTTTAACTTAGGCGGAATTTCCAAATTCCACACCCGCTTCCAACTTCCCCGATCCATCTAGCTAACCATTGGCACCAACCCCCAGCTTGCTGGTCGAGGCAAACTGCCAGGTGGTAAGCTGATTTCACAGTGAAAACCCAGTTTTCCGTCGCATGCCAGACAAATCTATCCTCCATAGCCCTTCTAGGCAAAGGAATACCATGGATAGCACGACAAATCTCAGAAGGAAACCACTCTCCAAGCTTAGCCGCAAACCAACGACCTTCAGTTGGGCAAATGAAATCGGCCACCTTGAGGTCCACCCCATTAGGAAGAATCCGGGGAACATATTATCGCATCTTGAAATGTAAGAGGGTTTAAGAACCCTAGAAAATATATTTTTAGTAGTTATTATTTTATGTTGATAAAGTAGATATTACAGCTATATATGAAACTAGACTAAAGATTAAGAGTAAGAATAAAGTGGCGAGGAACTTTCTAGTTGGTTGGCACTTGGGAGAGTAGTATGATATGAACTGTGATAAAGCTCCTTTGTGAGGGTTTTTTGGAGGAATGTTGTGAAATTTAAGGTTCACGCTAGCTCATATATCTTCATTCGTAGTTACATCGATGGAGTGAACAAAGTATCATTAACAGCCCCAACCCTAGGATGAAGGCATTAGGAAAAATAGGAGCCTTAAAGACCTGCTATTAAAACACCTATTAGTATTATGGGTTGATGGGTTTATATGGATCTCTCCAACAAACAGAAAAAATATTTTATTGTTACCAAATTAATGATCTTGCAACGATAAATTGTTTTTTTGTATGTTTGAGCAACGGTAGAAGGTAATTAATTCATAGTCCAAATAAATCTATGTATTAGGTATTTTGTCCACGACCTTTCTTTTGAACAATGGTATAATAAATAATATGAGGCTATTAGTTTTTTCATTGCCTCTTCTTTTTCATTGGTTGTTGACCCCAAGATTCGAACCTAGAGTATGGTGGATGTTCTCATCTTCATATTATAATTTTTCTTTTTTTGCAGCAATTCTAGTTTTATTTGGAGAAATTGTAAAAAGTAAAATTATAATGTTTTATTTCTAACGCATAAACATTATACGATAATGGCTGGTATACTCCAAGTGATCTGGGCGTTAGATGCACTTCAATAAGCTTCGACGAATTTCAATGGTCAATTGTTATTTTCTATTAAATTGAACTTTAGGTTTGGGTTTAGAGAATCGGAGCCTGGGGTTAATCCATTAGAGTTTAGTGTATAGTATCATACCTCAAACTCGGTTTAATTCATGGTCTATATAATGATATCTCACAAGGAGTATCTGAAGTATATTATACTCCAGGAGACAGGAGTACACCAGTCAGGCCCAACATTATACATAGTTAGCAACCGCATCAATTTTTGAGAATCCAAAATTCAAAAGCTAATTAATCATTCTTCTAATTATTAATCAATCAGTCTTTTAGCATGGTATTAGAGCTCTTCTAAGCCTCTGCTCACTTTCTTGCTCTTGTCTCTCGTTTTACTTCCTCTTCTCCAATTTTTCCCAGTCCTCCTATGGAGGTACACTCTTCTTCTTCCGAGGACGAAGCCACAAATCCTCACAGTGGAGGTCATTCGTCTCCAATGGTGCAATTATTTACCACCACGTTTCAATTTCGGATCCCGTGAGTCCATTCTACATGCATCCTTCTGGGAATTGGGGGCAATGTCTTGTTTATCAACCCCCGAATGAAGGAAATTTCTCCAACTGGGAGAGCTCCATAGTGCTCGTCATGGATGGAAAGAACAAACTCGATTTCTTAAATAGGAAAATTATCAACCGTAAGATGATTATCCTCTGTTTGAACCTTAGAACCTGTTTACCCATAAAAGAGGGTTGTTGTTTGACACCCTAGACTTACTATTTGCCGCCCATAAAACTTGTGGAAAAGTTGTTTTGGCCCTTTTTCTAACAAATTATTTAGAAAACAAAATCCCAATTAAAGAAACGGCAACAAAATTTTGCCCTTACATGTAATATGTTCCGTTATTTTGTTTTCTATTATAATAAAACCAACCATATAAATAAAATCATTTTGCAACCAACAAAGTATTATTTGGGTGTTTGCCATGTATAATACTACTTTCTAATTTTAAATAATAGTTACAGGGTAGCTTTCTTTATAAAAGATAACGCCTCCATAAGTCTCGAATTTTAAGCTAATTACAATTGGTAATATTTGTCAACGAAAATGATGTGTCGTTACTTAGATGACCGACCCTCTTCACCGTTAATGAAATTTGGGAGAAAGAAAAAATATTACGAGAGGAGACGGAGTAATGAAATAGAAAACAAATAATAGAAAGAGAAGGATAAAAGTGGGTTTACATAAAATTGATAAGGACATAGTTGAAATATTTTGATAAAATAATGAGTCATTTGAGACTTTCGTATGGACAAAATAACTTATACATTTTTTCTTTAGCAAACGAGTCAATTGACATCAAATGACTCAAGCAAACGAACCCTAAAACGCTAATGAGACAACTACTACGCGTTTGCAATGACAAAAACTTTTCGCGACGAAGGAAACGAGGTTTGTAGTAGGCCCCCGCATTGTGCACCGTCGGCGGACGTGCGCCAATCCAAACCACCAGTAGTCCTAAACAAACATTTTTATCTGCCAAAGCCAAACACAGCCGGCGGCCTAATCATTTCCTTAGTTTCCGTTCCCATATACAGTCAGACCGCTCCAGTCTCACCATACCCAATTCGAATCCACAGCTGCAGCGACCGATCGCAAGGAAAGGAGAAAGAAAAACCCCGTCATCGATTTCAACTCTCCATCGTTTCAGCAGTCAGTCAGTCGTCTACCAAGTCACGACGACGATGGCGGCGGAGTCACCTTTCAGGCCGGAGATACTCAAGGGGAAGGTGGCTCTGTTGACTGGAGGCGCCTCCGGGATCGGCTACGGGATATCCCTCGAGCTCGGGAAACACGGCGCCTCCATCGCCGTCATGGGCCGCCGCAAACACATCGTCGATTCCGCAGTCTCGTCCCTCCGATCCCTCGGCGTCCCCGTAAGTGCGAATCAATTGGTTTTCTGCTGTCGTCCATGTCATTGGGTAATTTTAATCTATTTCTTCTCTCGTTTCAATTAGGCGACGGGGTTCGCCGGAGACGTTCGGAATAGAGAAGACGCGGCCAGAGCAGTGGAAGGGACGGTGAAGCATTTTGGGAGGCTTGATATCCTCGTGAACGCCGCAGCTGGGAATTTCCTCACGCCGGCCGAGCATCTCTCTCCTAATGGCTTCAAAACAGGTTGCCATCTCATCTCCTCTCCTCTCCTCAAATCTCCGTAGATTTAACCTGACGTTCCTGCTTTCAATTGGATGGTGGCAGTGATGGACATCGACGCCGTCGGGACATTCACAATGTGTCACGAAGCAGTGAAATATCTGAAGAAAGGAGGAGAAGGGAAAGACCCTTCGCACGTTGGTGGCACCATAATCAACATTAGCGCAACTCTACATTACACTGCAACTTGGTACCAAATCCATGTCTCTGCTGCCAAGGTGAGCTAAAGCTTAGCTAATAGTTCTTTCCGACGCCTTCTCTTCTCCGTTCGATCGCTTGAAGTTCATCGAGAACGAATTTTGAATCCGTTAGGCAGCAGTGGACAGCGTAACACGCAGCCTGGCGCTGGAGTGGGGAACAGACTACGACATAAGAGTGAACGGGATCGCTCCAGGTCCGATTCAGGACACTGCTGGTGTTAGCAAGCTGGTGCTGCCCAACATAACCAAAGAGAACGACCCGCTGTTCCGGCTGGGGGATAAATGGGACATCGCCATGGCAGTGCTCTACCTAGCATCTGATGCAGGTTTTGTATAACTCAATCCATCCGTCGTCTTCGACAATTTGATTGGAATCACTTATCCTACTGTGCTCATCTGCTTCTTTCCAGGGAAATTCGTGAACGGGACGACTATGGTGGTGGACGGAGGGCAGTGGCTGAGCAAACCCAGGAGATTGGGGAAGGAGCATGTGAAGCAGCTGTCGAAAGTTGTTGAGAAGAGGTCAAGAGAGTTACCAGTTGGCGTCCCAAAGAGCAACCTGTGAGAAACATCATCATCGTCTCGTCCTTTCTTCTCTACTGGCGTTTTCCGAAGAAAAGGAATAGATACAAAGAATGGCACATCACCATCCTCATGATTCCTGATTATTGTTGCCATCTTCCACAGAAACGGACTACCGTTTTTCTTTTGTCTTGATTACTGTTTTTAATAAGGTCTTTGTTTAGATGAATATCATCCTATGGATGCTACTAGTCCTATTTTCCATCGCCTCATCAACACAAGGAACTGGAGTTCACATTACAAACCTTATTGATACTCAACTTCCAACAAATCTCTTTGCAACAAACTCACAATGGTCGCAAACACAGATGTAGAAGGAGAATCCTGAAGGCCATTCATCCCATAATCACAGAGAAGAATGGAAGTTCTACATTACGAATTCGGCTTATACTATTCGTTCAATGCCTCGTTTTCTGCTACCTCCAAAATGAACTCACCCTAACAACCACTGATTGAGCAAGACTAACATTCAATCTGATAGGTGAAGATGAAACTATCAACCACATGGAACTCAATCAAATCCACCTGGAGTTAGTGAGAAGAGCTGAGGTTGAAGGATTTGGCAAATTCGAGACGAAAACCAACTAGTGACAAACCTCTACACAGCTATATACTGTATTCGGCCAGATGATCTGCACCGATCCGATGCATTCACTAATCAAAACCTGCTGTTAATGCAGTTACCATATATGTATATCAAGGGATCGAATAACAATTTGGCAAGCTAGCTAGAAAAAGCAAAAACCATTCCTTAACGCAATTGCAGGAAAATATGCATTAACTGACATCAAGAACAGCAGGCAACTACTTGCAACTCATAATACTAGTGCTATTCATTAAGCATCAAACAACAACAACACAAATGCTTTCTTAACATTGGTGGGCACATCAAAGGATGATACAAAGATTACTTAAAACCCAGTTCTTACTGCAAAATGTACGATTTCCCCCACTTTTCTTAACCTCTTCCGTGTTCACAAAGAAAGCAATAACTTCCCAGGTATTCTATTCACCAGTTACTACATACATAAGAGCCTTGAAACGGAGATGACAGTTTCTTGTTGTCTACCTGTTTGTCAATTACATTGGCCACCCGCCCGCATCAAGCATCCAAGTTCTCCAGCTGAATGCTGCTCTTGAGAGGCACGTACTCTCCGAGGTACCCGCCGAGCTGATCATGCAAAGCCATCTTGTCGATCCCCTGGTGATGGTAGCTCTTGCAGACATAGTAGAACACACTCTGGACCAGCAAACCCACCAGATTCACGATCACCAAAACCCCAACCAGGAACCCACCCACGACGATCCTTGTGAACACCCTGTGACCCTCTCCGCCGTGAACCACCACGGATCCGAAGATGCCCCCAATCACCCCACAGATGGACAAATACCCAAACACGAGCACCGCGGCGGCTCCGGCCTTCCCCTTGAGCAGCTCGTAGCTCTTCTTCATGGCGGCGAAGCCATAGATGGGCTCGAGGACGGAGACGACGCTGGCCATGTGCCAGAGGGCGGTGATGTAGACGTGGACCACGAGGAAGAGGATGAAGATGACGATGAGGGAGAAGAGGACGAGGAGAGGGTTCTGGGTGTCGATGGCGATGATGAAGATGACGAGGAAGACGAGGAAGACGGTGTTGTAGGCGAGCATGAGGAGGGCGACGAAGACGAAGGTGATGAAGAGGCGCTTGAGGACCTTGGGGATGGCGGAGAAGGTGGAGGAGAAGGAGACCGGCTTGGATGTGTAGAGGGAGGCGACGGTGAAGACGACGGCGGCGGTGGAGAGGAGGGAGAAGGCGAAGAGGAAGATGAGGTAGCAGAACTGGAAGACGAGGAGGAGGGTCCACTCGTGGCGGGTGGTGGCCGGATCGTCGGTGGGGTGGTTCTCGAGGTGGGAAAGGATTGGGTGAGTGAAGAGGGAGTGGGCGAGGATGGCGAAGGAGAGCGGGAAGATTAGGGTTAGGGTTATGAGGTAGAAGGTTTTGGGGGATTGCTTCGGGATCGAAATTGATTCCCTCAGAATGTCTGGGATTGAGAGGAATTGGAGCTCCTCCGCTGCTAGATCCATGGCGGTTGAAGCGATTACCGGCCGAGTGAGGAAGATTGAGGGGACGAAATGAAGAGGATTTGGTAGACTGACGAAAGAGAGAAGGAGCAAAGAAGAGAGAGATAGAGAAGAGACACAAGCGATGAGGTCTCTGGAAACTCTGGATTTGGATTTGTAGCAGAAGATGGGAAAAATGGTCAAGAAGCAGCGAGGAAGGAAGACACCGCTGAATAAAGTTGACTTGTTGACGATACTTTTTGGGCCTGTTCTCCGTCAACGTTTGGGCTTCTGGGCCTCCAAACCGCGTGTCCTTCCCTTTAAGTTTCGAGTTCCGACTCGGTTGCTGTGAAGTGTGAACTGTGTGCATCTAAAGATTATTTTGTGGAAATACGTGGACAGTATCTAGAGGAATTTTAGAAATGGTTATATAGGTTTTTGCATTTATGGTACAATTTGTAATTGTAGATTTAATATTATGGTACAACTTTATATTGTACCTATATATTTTTGTACAAATTTTTTTATGGTACAACTTGAACGTGTACCTTTATTTGATGGTACAACTTCAAGTTGTAAAGTTGTATCATAACATAATGATACAAATTCCTTTTTGGTACAACCTAAACTTATACATTTAATGTTATGGTACAACTTTAAGTTGTACATTAAAGCACCGATGTTATATAGCATAGTAGAAGTGCTCCAGTATATATCTACAAAATATATAAGACTCTGTTTGGATGCAAGATTGTATTGAGAATTTTATTATGGATTTTAAAACAATTACACATTATGTCGAATCTTAAAACAATTTTGCATCTCCATCTCTTTCAGGATGTAGCCATCTTACACGGCCCTTTCTTTACTTGGTATTGCTAGTAATCCTTCAAATGATACATTGCACGTGCCACTATTTCATCTTCCGCCATCTTTTGACCATTGAACAAGTGTGCATTTCTTTGTTCCACGAGAACCATAACAACAGACACCATCCTTCCATCCTCAGATTATCCGCAACATCCATGGCAGTTTGCACCCATTTCAAAGCTGAGTTACCACTTTACAAAGCATAGAGATCTACATAAAGTGATTGCCTGAAAATTCTCGACCCCCACTAGAACTCCGCAAAGGTACTAGCTTGAGTTTCTCTAGCATCACAGAAGGGGAACTTGTCACTCCATTCTTTAATTTGAGCACTAACCTTGTCCCTTGTTGCTAGTAAGTTTTGAGTAAAATTACACATTAAATGTTTAATATTAGAGGGGACATTCATACCCCATAGTCAGTTCCATGTTGCACTATCCTCGGCCACCCAGACTTCGCCCTCCTCAAGAAAACTTACTAGCCATTTCCGATATCCATCATTTACCATATAGTCTCCACTAATGATATATTGCCAAATCATTTCATCCCTTTTCCCATTACTCTAGATCGACATTGAGAAATGGTGAGTACTATGTCCGCTGGAAGAAAAAAAACTTCATAGTATTGTCATATCCTATTGTTTCCTATCTTCATTCATCAGCTCACTCACTATGGCTTCCATGGACAGTTGTTTAAGTGCATATGACAGAAAACAACTCGGTACAGTGGGAAGTCTTGGGCACTCATGGGATTCCTCCATATGAAGTTTGGGTGATATCCAACTCTCACCTCCAACACATAATCGTTCTTGTGGTTCATCAACTTTAGGATTTGGGCAATTAGGGAGTTTGGATTCTTACGAATTCGCAAAAAAAAATCCAAGAGAGTCACGTTGAACCCAGGAGGTCCCTGAATCCCATTACCGGATTACCCCAACCTCATGTTCATTCAATAACTTTTCCTGGCTGATCTAATGAGTTCTTCTCTATGTGCCAAACTGTCCCCACTATAAATTCAAATATCAAGTTATGGACCTCGCCGATCACCCCTTCACTACCTTAAACAATGACATCACATAAGTAAGCTGAGCATGTGTCGTTAATTTTATTAGCACCTCCCTTGTTGTGACCGAGGATGTTTTTAATTTCCATCCTGTCAACTTCTTACAGACTCTATCAACCAAATCACCAACACATTTCCTTCTTATATCGAGCCACCATCATTAAGTCAAAGTATTTATCGTGATTGTGGACTAGTTTCATCCCCAATATGTCACTGATTTCAAAATTTTGATACGACTTAACATTTCGTTGAAGGAGACCTCAAATTTCTAGAAGCTCACTTGTTATACTGAATCTTGTTTATAGTCCATAAAAATCTTCTTCAGTTCCATTTGCTTGAGTAGTGGCCCTAGAAAAAATATATTATCATTAGTGAAAACAGGTGCGAAACCATCAAGGTTCATTGTGCAGGTTGAAAACTATGAAGCTTTCTTTGCTCTATGGTTGATATCGTAAATGAGAACAAACCCTCAACATAGAGGACGAACGGATACGTCGATAGTAGAATGTCATGCCTAGACAAAATGCTAGAAATTGGTGTCCATTACGAGTACATAATAGGATATCGTATTAAGCAAATCATAATAAGCTTCACCTGTTGATTGTCAAAGCCCATTCTCCGCACCATACCCTTTAGATAGTGTTGCTCCACTATATCGTAGGCATTCACCATGTCAATCTTCGCCACGAGATACCCACCTTATCTTTGGGGTTTTGCTTGAATGTAAGTAAGCATTCAAAAGCTACCACGACGTTATACCCAGTGTTGTCAGAACTGAGTCGGTGCATGATCTGGTAACGCGAACGGCTCCTACTTTGGTGCTTCAACCGATACAAAATTGTTAAAACTCATTAGAGAACCGATACCTTATAAACAAATAATATCATAAATAAAAGACACATAAAGTAATAATTTAACAATTTAATGGCTAAAATGAATTTTACTTTGCAGATACCACTTGTATTTTTACATTATATATATTGCCATTGAAAACCCTAACTCACCCATCTAGGCGGTCGCCCCTTTATCTTCTCTCTCATTTTCTCCCTCTCTTCTCTTACTCTATGAACCAAGAAGCCTTTCTTTTCTATTTCATTTCCTCGTCTCTCTTTTGGGATCCATATCTAGATCTCATTCTTTTGTTGTCCTTCATCCACTTCTTCCTCTCTCGTTTCATTATTGATCTTCTTTCTTCCCCTTCTTCCTCTCTCCCCAACAACAGGTTGGACGTGGAGGGGATCACCGATGGAGGTGAGGCTGAGGAAGACCGCCGGAGGAATAGAGAGAGATGGCAACGACTTTCTTCCTACAATATTTTCTTTATCGGGCAGAAGGCAAAAACCGATTGATCGCCTCGAACAGTTAACCATTTATGTTGCTCGCTAACTGATCTTTCTGACCATCGTGGCTTTGGGAGTGTTCCGAACCGGATTGATGGTCGGGGTATAAGTTTTACCGGTCCGACCAGTCGGCTTTGACAACACTAATTATACTCCTTCCTAGAACAAAAGCAAACTGCGAGGGGACACAATCTTATCCAACAGATGCTTCATCCGGTTTGCTACAATACAATAAACAATCATTTAGCGTCGGTTATTTTATATATTTTAACCAACAATTTTTTGTGTGAGTTCACTTAAATGATACAAAACGTGTCGACATTAACCAAATCCGTGTCGATTTTGGGAACCCCTTAGAATAACCGACATAAACTATTTTGCGTTGATCTTAATCGACACTAATTATATATTGGAAAAATCCATCTTCATAATTAAATTCATAATTAGTTAACCTGCGTAAAATCATCGACGCAAATTATCATATTTAAAAAAAATCCAAGATCTTCGCCATCAGAGCCTCTCGATCTCTCCTCCAATGGACCAGAGCATGGCCGCCTCATTGCAAAGATCATCATTGCCTCGTCACCCAGATCGACGCTACCATGTCACCCAGTTTGAGACCAGATCCTAGATCAAGCTTTGAGGCAACCCTCCTTCCGAGTTGAGACAAATCAGACTTCTAACTCAACCACCCATCACTGAGTCATCATCGAGTCTTAATTGTCTCTGCCATTTTCCGTTGGGCTTCTAGCAAGCCTTACCCGTCTCCGATTAGGAACCATCAGATGAATTTCGGACCTAGAAAGAGTTAGGCTATGTAGCCTTCACTAGTGCCCGCTCCCCTACTACCAACGCCATAAGCTGTGCCAATGTGGAATCTGCTGAGCAAAACTCGCCGACACAAGGATTTCTTTTCGCCTTCCTTGTGTCCAGATCAAAACTTAAGATCTTGCCTTTATTTGGCG